TTTTTTTGCATCTTCTTACTTGAAAGGATTCTCACACCATATTAGTCTACGACTGATAAACATTAAACCTTTCAACAAAAAACGATACAATAGAAATCATACAACTCACTTGACCAACAATATTACCTGGCTTTTGTTAGTTTTTCCTTCTTCAGGATTTGCTTCGTCATGAAGAAAAAATCATGACAAACATAACTCCCTTCGCTTAAAACTTTTCTCACGTTTATCAATATAGCTAATATTTCATTTTTATATTCTATAAATTTCACTATATCACGTTAGTGATATTCCTTTAGAGTATACACAAAAGTTTTAGAAAAAAAGAAGATAAAAAATTTTCTTGCAATGTCGTTACCCAACCCGATTTAACATCTTTTGTCGTACCTTTGTCTCTTTTAAACATTAATAAATTTTTTAAAAAACCAACAAACGCAATCGTAAATTTACTTTAAATCGAGTACGCTTTATAAATTTTTTTGTTTTTAATTTGTTGTTTATTGATGTAGTATTTCTTATTCGATAGGAACTTCCCCATGCTAATCCAATTCTTTTTTTCCTTATGGTTTATTGAGAAAGAATTTTTTTCTCTTTTCGGTTTGTTAAATTCCTTCCAATGTTATTTTATAAAAAGCAGGAAAAGAATAGTAAAACCGTTTATTGAGAAAGAATTTTCTCTTTTCGGTTTGTCAAATTCCTTTCAATGTTATTTTATAAAAAAACAGGAGAGGAATCGTAAAAACTGTTCGTTCCTGTTCATTCTCATTTTATCTCGTTCCTCTTCCTTCCCGACTTCTATGTTGTATAGATTATTTTAAATTTTTAAGAAAAATTTAGAGAAAATTTATGTTTTTTCATTTTTTTTTCATCTGCGCGCGCAGAATAATTTGATTATGTAGCGCTGGAGAGGGAAACAATGTCGACGGTGCTATCGAAAATCCGTTTCATTCGAGTCTCGTCGTCCGCAGCTTCAGCTTCGAAAGCAAACAAGTACTGTGCTTCTTGTGTTTTTGATTGCCATCTTAGTTTCACTTGAATTTGGTATTACTGTGGTGTAAGAACAATGGCCAGTCCAAAAAATAATTCGAACATGGGACTGCACTTCATCCCCGATTCTAAGATACGTAATGACGACGAGAGAAGAAACGCTCGATTTCATATGTTGTTAATAACATCGTATGGTCTTAACAATTCTCATACGAAGACGATTCATGTAGGATTGCAAAGAACGAACGAAGAAATCTTCAAACCTCTTGTAAAATTAACCTGACACAACGCGGATGGAATTTATTTCGACACCGAGTGCTGGCAACTATTTCAAGAACAGCTTGGACTCATGAACGAGTATTTAACCAGCGATAACAGAGTGAAACCTAACTTTGTTATTATAAAAAATTACACCATCAACTTTACCACGTCTTACGGAGCAAAATCCATATTGTTAGCCTGTAAAGAAGAAGAGGAAAATTCCAAGGAAAACCTTCCTAAAGAAGAGGACGTGCTCGATTCAACTCCACCAGCGAAGAAACGAAGAACATACGCAGCGGCAATTGTAATGCAGAAAACTATCTTCCTCGGACTGCAAAGCATTGTAAAGTGCATCGTTTAAGACAATTAAGATGCACGTTTAAAACAATTAGAATCACTATCCGATAATGTTAATAAGTGTGCTCTATACTTAAAATAAGAAATCGAACTGAAACTACCTATAAGTTTTATTAATCAAGAAATTATAAAATTATCGTTACGAGGTAATTACGAAGATATAAGCGTAATGTACGTACACAAATTAACGACTTAACTTTTCTCGATATGTATTTCAATATAATATTTTTGGAATTAACTTCATTAAGATATAACGAAATTATTCATATAATTCTCTCGAAGCGGGAATGTTTCGCTTAATTTTTCTAAAAACTTTTTTAGTTTATTCCCGTGTAAACTATGTAAACCCTCGTTTCTTAATCATTCATACCCTCTAATAACCAACTTTCTTCTCTGCGTATTTCCATGTTATATATGTATAACATAGACTTTAAAATAAAGTACAAGATGTACAATACACCTTTCTTAAAATCACTGTCATACATCATAAAAATCATACTCTTACTCGAGCGAGTGAATCATCACACCGGAGACGACTCGTCAGTTGAACATGTTCATTCCTGTTTTACTTAGCCTTTCTCCCAAGTGAAAGCGAGAGTCTCGAAAATGTTCGTAAAAAAGTACCCATAAATAATAAACGTCGGTACGTCGATGACAAAGGGTCACGATAGCAAAAAACGACCTTCAGAGTAAAGAGTTTCATGGTATTCATGTCCGTACCTTCCCCTCTCCCTGACAAAAAGATGTCTCGGGGTCCTATTTTACAGAGTCCCCATTATTCCAGCCGAACCTGTCTAGGCCACGCCCATTACGTCTGGGGAGGCGTGGAGGGGGTTTGAAAACATAAAATACATTTTTCTCCGTTTTTTTTAAAGATATAAATACAAGATATACACAGAATATCGATATTTCAAAAATAAGAGGACGTCGATAAATTTTTATCTCAAAGATAACTTCTCTAATCGAAGCTTAACCAACTTGAAGTCAATCTTCTCTTATTTAAAACGGCACAAAAATTTTCTGAAACACATCGATTTTCTTTTCTCCACGTTCTCCGAATTTTTTTATATTTTAACTTTATTACTTTACATAGGAAGAAGAATAGACAACTCTCTCAACCTGTGTTTCTATCATATGCTTAATATGGAGGCGCAGACTCGCTGTTTTGCCCGGGTACCGAAATACCTCTATCGGACCGCATTGCGCGTGGGTGTGCTCGCTGGTGGATAATAACCGGTAAAATCTTACCGGTTTCACAACGCATGCTTCCTCTCGGCCCCGTCCGCGTCTTATATGAATATGCCTGTGAATCTTTTCTCGCTCTCGGCGTCCTCGCTTATTTAAGACGCGCGCGATGCGCTGCAGCTACTCTGTGCCCTACAGCACGATAGATTTACGGATAAACGTACGATTTTTTCCTTTCAACAGGCGCATTGAACTGGTATGAAGTCTGTGAGCATCCTAGGAATGATCGTTCTATCGCGCGATGAATGATAACGCTCATGACGTCCATAATAATTCGCGTAACGTATCGTTTTGCTTTATGCAAGACGTTTCCGCGAAATTGCCGCTGCATATCAACATATTAGGCGATTCAATTGAATAACAGTCAGAGGTTTGAATTAATTTCTCTTTGGTGATCATTTTATCATAGCACTGTAATTAACGATTGTAATACCGATCGCAGTCGTTATAACTCGTGTCATAATTATTCGTTTGTTTTATATACAAGATATCTTCTTGTTACTCTTTTACATACTTATCTAGTCTTGTTAAGTACCAAATAATAAAATTAATATTATTGTTATTTCTGCATCATTGCTATATTTGTTATACAAAATTGATACAATTAATGCAATTAATGAAATGAAATAACAATCCGAAAAGTTTAATATTTTTTATTTTATATTAATGCAATTCACCTGGATTGTATTATTTATATAAAACAGGAAATAATTGTATACATTATATTAAGAGAAAAATTTAGGTAAATGTAAGGTAAATTGCAGAATAAAATTTATATTCATGTAAGATATATTACATTAAAAAAATTCACTAAATCTTTATACATATTTCTTTAAATAGTATTAAGTAAATATTTACTTAATAAAACAATAATAATTAAATCATTTTAATGGTTCTCTCTCTCTTCTTCGAATAAATATACGTTTACATTTAGTAAATATTTACTCATAACTGTTCAAATAAATTCTTATTAAAATTTATTAAATTTTATTAAAATTTAAATAACTATCTATTAAATTTTTTTTATGTGTATAGTGTATGTGTTATAGTTAATTGAGTGAAAAATTACGTATGTTATGAATTAATTATTAATATTAGCACGCGTAAAAATTGGCATATTATAAAGCACTTTCGTATTTCAAATGCGCCCAAGTGATGGAGAGATGTATCAGTTAGACAAATCTAATATCGATTATTAGAAATTTATAGGAAAATAACACAATGACAGGAAACCCTACCTTAACAACTCGAAGTTATTCGATAAATACTTTAAGAAATAATAGTTACCATTTTAATTTTTTCGATTTATTTACCTATAATAAAGTTCTTTATATACACATGCACATTCTTTTTTAAATATATTATATCAAAATCACTGTTGTAAAATTACATTTACAAATTGAGCAATAAAACATAAGGTCGATATATCACCTTATAAATAAAATAATATCTCTAATTTAGCGTTGCCGGATATTTTTATACGATTTTATCTCTTGATGACGTACATTTTTTAACTATAATATATATAAATGAAGATAAAAAATCAAAGGCTAAATATTTTTACAGTTGTATAGATTTGTTCGCATACAAATATGGGCTAATATGGGCAACACATTTTCTGGTTTTATAAGAATTGTATTATTTTACAGGAAAAGATGAAATTCTTGAGATTTTCGAAAATCTATTTGAGAAAATCGATCAGGTTGCAGCGTTTACCATAACATTAATATAATCTCCGAAATTATTCCAAGTATGATCCCATAAATTCGGATCGCCTTTACTGTCCCACGGAAGATTTCCGGGCCGAAGTGCGCTACTGTTGAACTTCTTCAGTTCGTCCTGCAGTTTTCTGACGATCGTAGGAAACCTTTGACATGAAAAAAGAACAGGTTGATATAATTACGAAGTTTGTTTAAAAATTAAAATAAAATAAAATTTCTTAACGAATTATATTGAAATAATATCGCGTTTCACTCACTGTTTAACAAGATTATTGTCTTCACAAGGATCCTGGTAGATATTGAAGAGACATGCTTCCTCCAATGGTTTGCAGATGGGCAGATTGTCATTCCGCGGCGGACACTTGATTAACGCGTTTTCACGTAACATCAAAACAACATCTGCAGTAATGCCTAAACCAACACTGGCGATGGCATTTGCCGTCGTACTGCTAATCACCCTGTCCACGTCATAGACCCATTCCCTACCAGATGGACCGTACCATCCATCCCATGCTCCTTTGTAAGTAGATCCTATGGAAAACCGAGTTGAATTGAATCAATATATACAGGGAAAGAATAGTTTTGCAAAAGTATCCAAAAATTTAGCTAGACACAGATTTGAAAATAATTTTGCCGGACTATTAACATAATTATGTAAAACACTCAAGCTGGTTGCTAAAATGTCAAAACTTTTTGCTGTATTGCTCATCATGCTTGAGTTTTCTATAATACATAATTCTAGAACAGCAAAATTATTTTCCGATCTGTATCTAGCTAAATTTTCAGATATTCTAGAAAAATTGTTCTTTTCGTGTATTTGTATATATACATACTTATCATTATTCCATATTTATATGTATTCCCAATAAACAAGAAATATATTAGAACATTTTAACAACATTGCAGCAACGTTGCTACAATATTGCTATGGATTTATATTTTACAATATAGAGAATGAAGAAGGAATACGATATGAGATACGTTTGTTGTCGTCCCATACATCACAGAAGTTTGCAGCAGTATTGTTGCAGTGTTTGCAACGTTACTGCAATATTGTTGAAACGTTGTACTGTTGCTGCAATATTGCTGGATTAATCTATGTTGTATGGGACGATTCCCAAATTTAGATTGTTATAGAACAAATATCTTTGTCCTTTTTTTACCTCGAATGAGCTTCCAGTCGCCAACCGTTATAGCGGACACATCATAAATATCGTCAATATTATGAAGAACGTTCGCGCGCGGTGACTCAGTATCTTCGCTAAGCGCATTCCACAGATCCATGCCGTCGACAGTTAAGTTCGATGGATCACCACCGGCGGCTGTTATAAGCGTCGGCAGCCAATCCGTAATGTGTAACATTTGCTTGCTTACGCGGCCAGGTCGCACCAGTCTGGGTGACCATATTAATCCCGTACCTCTGACGCCGCCTGCAATAACAGAATTAAAAAGATTTTTCATTTAAGAACATTAAAAAAATTAAAAATGACTTTTAAAACGTGAATTTTTAAATTAAATCTTCATAAGATATTAATTCAATAAAATCCTAATTTCGTGAATAATTCGCGGATTCTTAAAAACACGAATACACTAATTATGAATATAATTATAAAAAGTATATAGTTGAAAACAATTATTTTTAAAGATATTTTCCTTGCTGAGCCAATAAAATTTACTCGTTAATCAAGATATCTTAATATGTTAAAAATTTTGCATAATTATTTAATTTATTAATAGTCAAATAAAATTACCTTCCCAAAGAGTATTTTTGACCCCTCTCAGCGGCCAATTAGACGCTGCATTCAAATTAAATCCAACGGCAGGTCCACCGTTGTCCGACGAGAAGATGATTATACTATCTCGCAACATGTCTCTTTTACGCAAAGCTTCAACTACTTGGCTCACGGATTGATCTAGTTTGCTTAGCATACCTATAGCAAAATTTTAAGATTATCAATCTGTTTATCTTTAGTATACATTTTTAGTCGTCCTATTTCCTAAAAATTTTATATATTTTCTATTTAATCAACAGTCTGTTTTGTATTAACTCTCATTTCTATCCTTTAAACATTTTTACCTGCAAAACGTCTTCGATTGTAATCAAAGATATTGTTGAACTTAGCCACTTCCTCGTCCGGCGCCGGAAGCGGATTATAAGGGTTTCCGGAGTGCACGGCCGCGTGAGCCAAGTATAGGAACATCGGTCGACTAGAGTTGTGGTTATCAATTAATCTCACCGCCTCTTTCGTGAAAATATCTGTAGAATATTGACCGTGCAGATCCCATGCCGGTTGCATACCCCGTCTTATGTCCAATCCCCAGTAAGGCTGCGTTTTTATCACATTATTACGTTAAATAATAAAAACTATGCTTTTATTTAATATATGGTCGCTCACGTTTTCAACAGCCGTGTGATCGAAATAATCATGATGACCTGTCCAGAAGCCAGTATGAGTATCGAATCCCCTGTAAGTGGGGGTGTATTCCTTTTTGTAAAATCCTAGGTGCCATTTGCCGACAATGTGCGTGCTATATCCAAGCTCACGCAGATATTGCGGCAAGAGTTTCTCGTGAAGTGGCAATCCTCTGGGCTCCGCACCTTTGAGAACCTGAATTATTCAAGTCGGAATATTGAACTCAAAATTCTTCTTTATAATAACATATACCACTTTTTAACAAACCCAGTTAAAAATCTTGTCAGTTTTATTAACCCTTTTGAAAAGACATTTTGTAATTAAAAAAGAAAAACAATTTTTTTATTGATTTTGATCAAAAATGTCTTGAAGAATCTCCATATACATATATCTATCGATATTTGTATACATTATCAATATATATTATGCTATATGCATGAAAAGGACAGTTTTACTGAAGTATCTAAAAATTTAACTAAATACAGATCTAAAAATATTTTTTTAAATTATCGGTATAATTAACCATCTACATAATCATTAAGATGGCTAACCATTTAGTCCTACATTAATATAATGTAGAACACTCAAACTAGTTGCTAGAATGTTACAATTTTATGCAGCATTGCTCATCATTTGAGATTTCTATCTACGCAATTATTTTAATAGTCCAACAACATTATAGATCTTGATTGCAATTTTCGTTTGCAACCGCAACTATCAATTATATTAAAAAAAATTTTAATTAGACCTACATAATTCTAAAACTAAAAAACTAACAAAAAAAGAACGGTTTTACTGAAGATCTAAAAGTTTTGCTATAAGTTTTGAAAAACAGGTCTGAAAATAATTGTGTTGGGCCATTCAAATAATTATGTAGGACTCTCTAACTGGTAGTTTGAATGTCAAAACTTTTCGCAGTATTGCTCGTTATGCTTAAGATTTCTACGTAACTTTGATGGCCCAATAAATTTTTTAGATAATTTAATAAAAATGTTTTTTCCATACATTTTCATTTTCAATTTTTAAGTATAACTAATCTGTACAAGGAGAAAGACTTTACCTCGAATTTATTTTATCAAATTTAATTTTAAAGTGAATTTTGCAAATATGCAATATTCACCCTTATAATAGGATCAAGAAATATTTAAAACGTCTCTTAAAAGATTTTCAGAGCGTTAGAAAAATTATTCCCTTAATACAAATTAGAAAATTGCATGAAAGATGCATTATTCACTCAACGTTATTAATATCGTGATAGCAAAAGAGATGCATTGAACTGAACGCGGTCTTTTGTCAGCTGTGTATGTAGATACGCGCGTATAGGTGTAGGTAGTGAAAACGCGAATGAAGTAGCAACATCTATTTCTCAGTATGATAATTTCCAATTGAACTATCCGAGTCAACATGACAAAAGAAAGTGCAAGTGCACAATATCCCCTTTTGTACTCTGCTGCAAGTAGAACAACAACGTTTCCGCTAATTGATAGCTCTTAATCGTACTTATTCATTAACAAGTGCAGCAGCAGTTAAAAGAAACTGAACTATCGCCATTTTAATGAGCAATTTGTAATATTTTTTTAAAAACCGAGACAAATTTACATTTTAAGCGAGTGGATTTGAACGTATTATAAAGTACATTTACTTGAATCGCTTATTGTTCTCATTTGTGCTCAAATCTATTTTTAATATATCACGTGCATAAACTCTTGATAAAATATGATGTTGATGAGATGTTGCGAAAGCAACACTTACGCCGTGCTGCATTCCAGTGTGAATGGGATATTTGCCCGTCATTAGAGCGCTTCTGGACGGTGTACAGATCGGAGTGACATAATATCTATCAAGAAGCAGCCCAGAATATGCCAGTGCATCGATATTCGGTGTTGGGATTTGACCGGAACCGTGAAAGCCGACGTCGTTCCATCCCTGATGAAAATGAAGCTAAATTTAAGTGTAACTGTAACATTTCTTTACGATTCTGTTTTATCTTAATTTAACATTTTCCTATATTTGTAACTTGTCTATTCTTTGTGATAAGTTTGCATTAATTTACAACTTCTTCTTGTAAAGAAGAAGAGACGTTGCATACAATATCCATTATTTTATTTATTCCTCATAAAACACGCTAACATTATTTGTTGTCAAAAAGTTGATGACAAAGTGACATCTCTAACGTTATTTTATCTGAATCCCAAAAAACTTATCTTCATAATATATTATAATAGAACACAAAAATGTGGATATGTGTACACGTATTTACATGATACAACGTATATATTTATAGAAGCATTGAGAAAAAGTTCTAGTTGAAAATGAACTAACCAGAAGATTCTGATCATATTAATCAAAATTCTGGTTATCTCAAATAGAATTTTAATATATTTAACCAGAAAATTCTGATTTGTCATTTTTAATTAGATTTTCAATGCAACGAAACTTTTTCCAGAATATGGAAAGTATATCTCAAGGACAGGACAAGTTTAATAGAAAGAGATATTACGGACTAACATTATGCGTCACTAATAAACTCCTACTAGTTAAATAGTAGTAATACTTTGCTTGCATAATGTCGAACTCATTATTATTCTTCTTTCAGTTTTTATCTAATTCTTCAACATTTCTAACATATCTATTTTTACGTCTTTCTAAATATACTTACCGAGGCATATAAATGAGTACTAAACGGAAGTTGTCTCGCTTGATAAAATTCTCAATTTGTCAATAAATAAATTCAAATTCTCATTGTATTTTTATTAATTTTTTAACAATTTAACAATGTAAACCTCAAAAAATAACTTGCCAAATCATCTGCTAGGATGAAGATAATATGTGGTTGCTTCGCCGAAGTTGCATAGACCGCGAGCAACAGGATCAGGAACAATGTCCTCTGCACGATTCCCGGTGGACGACGCATTATTTCTGCTTCCTTTAAACCAGAGCGCGTCGTACGTTCCCCGTGGAACCGGTTCGCGATTCTTCCTCGAGAATGCGAAATGAATCTCAAACACGCGTGCGGCGACCGGCTGCTCGAAACTATCTTCTCCGCTCCAGCTCTCTTTCGTCTTTTCCCGGATGCGAATAGTGGGGAAACCTCCCACCTTGAAGCATCATCTTTGCTCATCTCGCCGTTCACTACGATCTCCTCACCGTTTAACCGGTCATTAATTCGCTCGCGCCGCATACTAAGTGGTCGCGTTATGTCTGCGAATTAAAACTGTCCGGTACCGCACGATATTACCGCGTTTCGTATTTCTTGCGGACTCCGATCGCAGAACCGATCTCCTACTTAAAATTCTTACTTGATTTCAAGTTTTTTAATTCAACTAATTCAATTCCTTCGTTGACATTACGTGTAACACAAGAAAATATTTAAATTTTATTTCATATATTTATTTGTTAAATGTTTAATTTTAAAATATTTTTCAATGAGTATAGCAAGTTAGAAAATAACATGAAAATTTATGTTAGAAGAATATTTTAAAATTTTGTAATTTGTACTCCAATAATAATATTTTGCTTTTTTATAACATAAAACACAAAATTATTACACAATGTTTCTATTTATTTTGACAGGATATTATAACGATCTTTTGTCCGCAAATCAGGAAGCGTTAATATATAGACACAACAAATTCCAGCGAACTGTCATACTGTATTATCTTCTTTTATCAGAAACAGTTAAAAGCGTGAAAGCACGTACAAATCGTCCTTTTCATCACGCAATCACTGTGAGAAATAATGGAACATATATAATACATTAGCGTGAAAAATAAGAAATGATTGATACATAAAAATATGTAGAAGGTTTTATTTATTCATGCAAAAGAAATGTGAATTTTATAACGCAAAATTATATAGAATTTATAATATTTTCTTTGTTTCTCAGAAATAATTTAAAAATTATATATAATTATATATATATAATTTTATTCGATAATATTAACTGTGACTAAAATTACTTTATTGCATTAATTAAATTTGCAAAAGTAGAGTTATATCATATTAGAAAAAATGCAACTGTTTTAAAAAAACAGAGAGATAAAATTAAATTAATTCGTTTACAACAATATAAAATATCTTTTTCAAGGTATAAACGTAATTTGAGTAAGTACATAAAACAAAATAAAAGTGGAATATTACGCAAAAAAGGTATGCAGATTAATAGTTGTGCAATGAATACAGACTTACATAAACAGTGCGTAACGAAGCGAAGTTAAATATCTTTCAGTCTGTTTAATTGCGTTAAACTCTATTGTCGTGTTAGACTCTATTGTCGCTTAACTCTTTTATTACACCAAGACAACAACGACAGATCGTATTATATCACGTATGCCAAAGAAGAGTGACGTTACTGCAGTTATTGTTTTTTTCGACATTATAATATCTTTATGTAATAACAGGTTGTCAAATTTAATGCTATATTATTTACCTAAATGAATAGAGAGAGAGAGAGAGAGAGAAAAAGAGAGAGAAAGTAAAAACGTATTACGAAAGTAAAAATGTGACACGCGCTTATCTAACCATGATCGATCATGCTGATAAAAATAAAAGAAATTTATTTCTCCGTAAAGCAATATTGTAAAGCAGGTACAACATTCAATCATTTTCCATCAGAGCGGCGACGATTTCACAGTGAAAAAAAACATGTCGAACGTATCTGTCTATGTTTTACTCTCGTTATTAATCGTAAGTGTGTTTTCTCTTCGTCTTATTAATAATAACACATCGACAGAAGAAAAATTTATCTACAAAGACATAGTCACTGCAATGGTAAGATAAATTTCCGAAAAAGTATCTAAAATGCTGGTCAAATCTTACATTATATTAAATCTGAATAAATTATTCATATTATATGCGTACAAAAAAATTAAAAAAAGAGTTTTCACTAATATTGAGTATAAGAATACATCATTGAAAAAATAGTATAAGAAAAATAATCACTATTTGTTATTGAGTATGCGTTTATTTAAAGGATTATTGAAAACATGTTCAAACCCCAGTAACACATGTTTATAGTTTTGTATATAATGTTTTCTAAATGTTTGTAGAACATTAGGAATAAAACGTATGTGAACAAATAGACACTACTTTGAAAGTTTTCGGCCAGCTTAATCATTTTACAAGAAAAATGAACACAGTAACTTAAAATAGTTTTGTGATGTTTTAATTAACATTTATTATTAATAATCATGCCATTTGCAACAATAACAGCGATACAATAACAAGGCATAAATTTAATTAAACGCGCAATAATTATCTAAGTCTATTCTTCCGTCGAAATTTGTAATAATTCAGTTTTATTTAAGTTTGTATACTCGCAAATTTAATGTTTTAATTCTTTCTCAGGTACTCGATTGAATTCAGATCCAGAGATTAAGAAAAAAGATCAGTTTAAGACTTTTATATTATTTAAACTATTTGAAAGTAATCATTCTGACTTCAAGACATATTTAGTATCATTATCGTAGTATTCAATTCGAAATATTCAATTGTATAGCATTTTTCTTTTAAAATATACTAGCAAATGAGTTTTTAACATATTTTTAATAAAATCATAAAAAATATACAAAACGATGGGCATTAGGAGTTAGCGCTGGAAATCAATTGCGCAAAAACTTACGAAAATTTATAGAAATATATCGAAATAACGAAAATTTTAAGGATGTTTCAGCTCCGTTTCGAGCCATCTTCAGCTCAAAATTAATAAATAATAATAAATTAAAACACAGTATCGTAGAAATGCATTCCCGTTACGTGATTATGACTGCAATGCGGTGAGAAGCTCCATCATCGATATCTTAAATATTGTATTAAACATTTGCATAGCTGAGTGAAAGTATGATAGTCAGTCTCAAGCTAAACAGATTTTAACGTGGCAACGTATTATAGTGGATGGATAAGTTGAAAAAAATCATAACAGTGCTCACTACATAGCCGCCGTAACCATACATCATATATCATCAAATTTAACGCGAATCAATCAAAGATCGTCACAAATTAAAATTAAAATTAAAATTAAAGAATAAAAGTACAGTCATATTGGTTCAAGATATGCTCAATAATAACTGTCGCGCGTGTTAGAACAAAGAAAGTACATATCGGTCAATTTGAATAAACAATATTAGCGTTACAGTTTATGGAAGATCTCTATGTACGCGTTATTTAAAACCTCTGTGTCTGTTTGCATGTTGAGTCCATTAGATTGAAGATTCATATACATCATTTCTGACATTAATCGCTATTGTAAGATCTCTCTTCCACACGTACGTAGAGATCCTCCATAAACTATAATGCTAATATTGTTTATTCAAATTGACCGATATGTACTTTCTTTGTTCTAACACGCGCGACAGTTATTATTGAGCATATCTTGAACCAATATGACTGTACTTTTATTCTTTAATTTTAATTTTAATTTTAATTTGTGACGATCTTTGATTGATTCGCGTTAAATTTGATGATATATGATGTATGGTTACGGCGGCTATGTAGTGAGCACTGTTATGATTTTTTTCAACTTAACTATTCAGGTACGTACATTTATCAAGGTTAAAGTTATTAAAACTGACAATCGAACTATGTAGAAGTGTTTTAAGTCTAAAAAATGGAAAACTTTAAGATAATATTTCTCAGAAACCAGAAGTGTCCGCAAAATGATTCAAAGCGCATATGATTTAAAATTCTATGGACTACAATTATATGTAAAAGTTAAAGTGATTGATACATATAACCTTTTCGAAAGTTTAACCCTTTTTTAAATGATAACTTTTATATATACTAGTTATAATTCCTTTAGCTTTTACTTTAAAAAAAAAACATAAAAATTCTTCTGACCGGAAATTTTTGCGTACCACTGTATATTATGCAATGGAGCAGGCCTATCCAATTTAAGCTCCGAAGCCAAAACGCAAAGTTATCAACGCAAACAATTCAATGTGAATAAAATTTCAAGGACTATAAAGAATTGATAAGCGTCACTCAGATGCGTATCAACACTTTACAGTCCCCGAAATCTTACATTGAATTTTCTTACGTGACGGCTTTGTGTTTTGACTCCGGAATTCAGATTGGACAAACTTGCATTAGGGAATCACATATTCGTATTATTTTAAAATAATTTATCAAAGCTGTTTCTTCTTTTATTAATCCTTTACCAGTAATGCCGGATCTTTTTTTAAAGCACAGTCGATTTTTTTATTGTGAATCTTAAGGAAATTAATTAGATGATGGGGTTTGCGGTATTACCCCTTAAAAAACTTAGTAAATGTTGAGATTGTATATGTACAAGGATGTCAATATCAAATTGGGGAATGTAAAAGAATGTTTTTATTCACTCATATAACAGTTATAAATTTTTAACCAATATCATGTTTTTTAGAACTCTTATTCGTATTTAAATTTATAAAAATAAGTAAAATACAATTCGGTTTCAATTATGATAAAAACTTATTAATGATTTCATAAATATACAAATACTTTTTTAGATTTTAGATAGTCGTAAACAATGAAAAGATCTGCTGTGGATCTCAACGATCCAAGTTACAGACAATGATCGAAAATATTACATTGAAGGTGAAAAATCAAGGATATAGAAGCAATTAATTAAAAATTTTTTAAGTAACTCTTTTTTTTATAGAGAAATTGTATTAATTTCGTAGGTAACAGTTCTATACCGATGTCGTCCAAAAGAATCGGAATTAACTTTACTACTAGGTGGAGATTATAGTGAATTTCTTATACGAGCGTTCTTTGCTGGAGTACCAGTAGCTTTAATAGGGGAAACGAGTGCTCAACTAAACGCCCTCAAAAAGTTTGCTTTAACAAGATATTCCTTCAAGATGTACGTGAGCTACAACTTTATCCATTTTCTTCGGAAATCACACAACTTCGTGTTAGTGGCATCTTCCCAGCCCATGTTGCGATCCATTTTGCAGGTGAAAATAATATATTCTTGATATAAAACTGTTTTCAAATTCTTACAGAAATTTCACACATATCCTTTCGAAACCTGTAGGGTAAAGTCGCCTATTAAAAAATTGGGATAGGTTCCTAATATGAGATAGCGGGGTTTCTGCTAAACTAAACTAATAAGAGCATGTGTTTGGTTCTATCACGAACTTTTTACTTTTAGTGTGAAACCTGTTTAGTAGAAAATTTATTATTAGATCATGCGTGTAGTCGTTGCAAAAAAAGATTTGTGAAATTGAATGTCAAATTTTATTGAGATTAGTACTTAAATCTTGTTTTATTATATAAAAATAAATATTGGATAATAAAGTCTGTATGCAATGATAGAGTAAGATCGTATGCATAGAAAAACACGTGATATAATGATTTGTTTAACTGTAAAGATTAGATTTGGTGATCGTGAAACCGCAAGGCATGGAAGTCATAATATGAGATACTCAGGATACTCCTAGCTAATATGAAAGTATCTAAACAATTCAATATCTCAAAGCATATTATCGAATGAAATGTTAAAAATGATAATTTTATTGTTAAGATTATTCACACACAGATACACATATACTCACATACACACACATCGAAAAATTGTATAATTATTATAAATAACATTTAAATTCTTTGCTCCTACTTGTAATATAATAAAAGCGGGCATAAAAAGTTTATCTTTATTTTTTCCTTAGTTTCCTGTTATGAGATACCACCTCATACAAGAAAACCTTTGTATCTCATAGGAATCCTTTTTTTGAATGATCAAAGTCGGTACTTTTGATAAAAAATTTTACATACAACAAAGTATAGCTATTATCGATTGTTAACTATTGGTGATAAAACTTAAATATATTTCCCATAAATTTGACATGAAGATAGAAATTCAGGTTAAATAATTAAATAAATTACAAGCCTTTAAAAAAAGATATCTCATAATAGGCGACTTTACCCTATACACGGTCTGTTCAAAAAATTCCGCGACTACTGGATGGGGTTTAAAAAATTGAAAAAATTGAACATTTTTTTTTTATTTTTGATATGTTCTACATAATCTCCTTATAAGTCAATACGACTATTATAATGTTCATATAACTTTTGGAAATTTTTTATAGGCTTCTTTTGAAATTCTCTTTAATTCTCGCATCTCACATTAGTTTGGATATCCTCTAAATGGTCGCAGCGTTTTTCCTTCATGTGTAATTACTTGAATTGAGGAAACAGAAAAGAGGCACACGGAGCCAAATCAAATAACTATGGAGGGTGATAAAGCACAGGAATTTGTTTTCATGCTAAAAATTAGGTCACAATTCCAGCCGTGTGGGCAGGCTCGTGTCGTGCAGCAAAGAAATCTCTTTTCTTCCATTGATTTTTACAAAAAGATTCAATGTATTCGACCAGACCAATGGAAGGAAAAAGATTTTTTGCTACACGATAACGCGCCCGCCCACAAAGCTCGAATTGTATAATCCAATTTTTAGCACGAAAACAAATTCCTGTATATAAAATATTAATTGAGTAATAGTAACTTTAATTGTATACAAACGTACCTTTTAAAAAAAA